TATCACTTCTTTTGGTTACAATAAATGGGATTTTCATTTTTGATTTGGATCTGTTGTATATGACTTAATTATTTTTCTCCATTGTCCAAGTTGAGATTCTTTTGAACTCTTTTCTTCCTTCTTCAGCTTTGATGCCTTTTGTCACTCTTAGCTCAAAACAAGCTCACTTAATTACTGGTTGAACGTTGAGGTCGTTTCTAACCCTAAACTATAAACCCTAAAATCTGAAAGACGGGTGCCAACATAGAAATGTCAAAAGTACAAGAAAATTCAACATAGAAAAGTCAAAAGTACTGAATGTATATATCTTTCTTGTGCGAACGTGCTCCTCTCCAACCCTCAAACGATCCATCAACACTTATTCAGTCAAGAATTTTGAAGCTTGTAGTGCAATACATATCTTTGTTCAGGTAATACAAAGATTAAAGTTTTTATTTTGAAAAAAAGAAAAAGATATTCAAATATGTAAACAGTATAGTCGCTACTGTACTTTTAAAATATATTTATATTTAACCAATGAAGGTTGGTCAGAGTGGAAGGGGCTCTGGTCGCTTAAGCAAGTGGTCTCGGGTTCAAGTCCTTGTTGATGCAGAAAACTTTCTTGGGAGAGGTCCCCGCATATGCGCTCGACAGTATCTCGGAGGATTAGGCTTAGGCCACGACTGGGGATACCTTGGGAAAACAAAAAATAATAATTTATATTTAAAGCTTATAGACGCATGGCTACTCTTTAAATATATTCGAATATTTTAAAATTATAGCCGTGCGGCTATACCGAAGTCCATTTATAAAAAAAAGAATTTAAAGCATTATCCATTACTATTAGGCCTTTACCCGAATCTCCATTGTCCCTTTTTGATTTTTAACTTTTCCATAGTTATTACCCATATAAAGAATTTAGCATTTTCCCTTTTAATTATACACGTACATACGTATTTTCTAATAGCACTTTCATTTTCCGTACACGTCTTAAAGAATTCGTAAAATACACATTTAAAAAAAAAAACCAAACATATAATACACGTACGTATATATTTGCCATGTTTAAAAAAAATCAATTATACACACAAATTCACGTATTATACATATAATTTTCATATTATTGAATAAAAATAACATATATTAAAAATTTTAAATAAATTATGTTAAAATCTATATATATAAAGCAAAATGCAGAGAATGGTAAAACATTTAAAATACCAGAAAATGTCCTTGATTTTAGAACTGAAATTATTAATTAAATGAAGATAATATGGTAGATTCACACTTTTTCATATTAAAAAAAATTAAAATTAAAAGAAAAATCAGATAATGAATCCTATTCTATGGAACACAACTACCCATTATCTTTTTTAATTCTAAAATGAATTTAATTTTTTTTTTTAAAAAAGCCTCTCACAAGCGCGGAAGCACGTGCGGAGAGGCTAGTATTATATAGTGACTGAACTTTTTGGTTGTAACTTGCCAAACATTTTCCGAATAAAACACATACGTATTTTCTTTGTATTTTACTAACTATGAAAGAATGTGAGAGGCTAAGATTATTTCTTACTTGTTGTAACAAAAATGCAAGATGGTGATTTTGCAATCTCTTTGTCAATGAGAACAACAATTTCACACACAGATTTATGGGTATAAAAGTAAGAGGTGGTACTATTCTTCATGTAAAGTGTTGTTTGAAAAGTGAAGCAATTACCAAGACAACTCCAACTCCGGATGCAATTCTCTAGGACAAATAACGTTTGCAGTAACAGAATTTAATAGCACTCAAGAGAACGAGGTAGATCAAGGCAAACATTCCTAGGAAAAAAAGAAGAAAGAGGCCTTGGAATTACTGTAGGGAAAAGAGAAGATTCGGACGCCTAATCGATAGCAAGGTCCTCTTTCTAAAAATCTTTAAAATAACTAGTATAGCCGCGCGTATACTGTGGGTGTTTTAAGACTCAGTAAAATTCACGTTTTAAAAAAAAGAAAATGTACAATACTCATATGTACGTGTATGTATGTATTTCTCATATTTAATAAACATGTTTTTTTACAAAATTTTCAATAAGACACACAAAATTCACGTATTATACAAATAATTCTCACATATTATTGAATAAAAATAATACATATTAAAAAAGTTATACAGTGGCCGATTCATATCTGCTTTGGATATGTTGAAACTAAGTATAACCTAATGCAACTAGGAGGGTGCTTTTTTCTTAATTTTTATTTATTAAATCATATAACCTCATGGCTATTCTTTTTAAATATAATGTATTTAAATAGTATAGTCTTGTGGCTGTACTCATTTTAACACGTGGCACCTAACGGCTAGGGGGTCTTTTTTTAATAATAGTCTAGCCGCGTGGCTATGTGTTTTTGACAAGTGGTGCCTAGGCGCTGTGCGGGTACTCTGTTTTAAAAATAAATAAATAAAGAGTAGAGCCGCCAGGCTATACTCGTTTTTTTATTCTTTTTGAAAATAGTATAGCCGCATGGCTTTACCTGGTTTTTTTGTTTTAATTGCCTTTAATAAATAATATAACGGCTATTCTTATATATATATATATATATATATATATATATAATGGGATCCTTTTTTTATTTTAAATCTTTTCCCCGATTTTTGTTTATCGATAAGAGTAGTTTGTAGCATTATTCATTACTATTAGGCCATTACCTGAGTTTCTATTGTCCCCTTTTAATTTTTTTACTTTTTCAAAGTTATTATCCGTATAAAAAATTTAGCACTTTCACGTTTAATACTCTATTATACACATACAGACGTAATTTTCAATAATACATCTGTGTTATGTACATGTCTTAAAGACTCGGTAAAATTCATTTAAAAAAAAAGAGCAAATGTACAATACTCGTATTGTATATGTACATACATATTTCTTATATTTAATACACGTGTTTTTTACAAAATTTTCAATAAGACACAAAATTCACGTATTATACAAATAATTCTCACATATTATTGAATAAAAATAATAGATATTAAAAAAATTATATAGTGGCCGATTAATATGAAGAAAGTATAACCTAATGCAACTAGGAGGGTTTTTTTTTCTTAATTTTTGATTTAGTAAATCATATAGCCGCGCGGCTATACCTTTTAAATATAATGTATTTAAATAGTATAGCCGGGCGGCTATACTTCGTATGTTGACATCGCCATTATATCACATTTTGTCCGCCATTATTCCTTGATGCACTAATTCAGGCTTCAAGAAGGGCACGACGTAGAATGGAAGAGAGTTATCTAGAAGATTCAAGATTATCTCATATTATCTCGGGCAGAGGAACTCATCTAGTAGAGAGCACTCTTCTTCTTTCTTCTGGTAGCAGAGTAAAGGCTTATCTAGTAGAGGGCACTCTTCTTCTTTCCTCGTTAAGAAAAGCGGGTTGACACAAACATTGAAAACACGACACGAATGCAGGGTCTACTCACAACTGCTTTTCCCTTGATCTCCCCACCTCCCTTTTTATTCTTTTCTTGTTGTTTATATATTGATCACCCATAAGAGAATGTTTTAATTTGAAAACATGATGATAAGCTGAGCCTCAAAAACGGAACTGCCAATCTCCTATGAGAGTGCCCTATATCGGTCAAACTCTCGTCTTTTTCTTTTTTGAATTTCCTTCCTTTATCTGATCAGCAAGTTTATTTTGTTTTGAGCACTTATCAACTTAGATTAGATAAGGTTTGTTGCACCTGGGATTTGACCAATACAACCTTGGCAATTTTGTAGTGAATTTTTTTGGTTCAACACTGACATTGGGGAGGAGGCATAAATGAAGATTTCTTTAGTTTCCTCCAACATTTCAACTTCAAATTTGAAAAGAAACTTATCGTCAACATTAATTTTTGTTGGTATAAGTGTCAAATTATGTGTATACACAAATATGTGCAATTATAATACAATTATGTCTGACTATAACTTATATATACAAACGAAATGAAAATACCAAGCTGTTAACAATTGAAGCTGTGTGAGTTTGTGACTAATACTAACAACATTGAACTTGTGTGAGTCTGTGACTAGTGCTAATAACATTGTAATGAAAGTTGTGTGAGTCTGTGACTAGTGCTAATAACACTGTAATGAAAGTTGTGTTGAGTCTGTGACTAATACTAACAACATTGAAGTTGTGTGAGTCTGTGACTAGTACCAATAACATTGTAATGAAAGTTGTGTGACTCTATACTCTATATAAAAATGGTGAATGTATAAGATTCAACAATGTAAAAAGCGATGTCTCTATGAGGGAGAGACACACCCTAGTGTCACTCCTCTCAATCTCATTGATTCCGTTCCGCCCCCAAGTCCCTCCATATTCCATCGATTCTGCACTGTGCTTCTTCTTCTTTGAATAACACTAGCAAGATGACTGACGTGCAGTTTTGATTCTTGATGGGTTTGGAGGGTGCATTAAATTCCCCAACCCCTGCCCCACCACATATGTCATACAAAATGAGATATCATAATTAATGAATGAGATAAACTTTCAAACAAGATTTATGGTATAGATGAAGGGAAATATGCCCCTAAATGATCTTCAAAGGACATTGACTTGTAGACCGGAGGTCTCAGGTTCGAATCCCCACAACATCATAGTTGTATGTGTAAGAAATCTCCCTTGTGGTTTAGACTATCGCTTGTATGTATTTACAAATTTATTATTATTATTATTATTATGGTCTGGATGAAATGCATGAATGAAGCTGCCAAAATAATATGTCATAAGAACCAAAGATATGTCATTAATGCCAAAATGATGAAAAATCCTCAAAACATCTAATTAACAAATTAAAAAAATTTAAAAAAAAATCTGGATTTACAATGTTGAGGCATCAAGAAAATTCATTCATGACATCCAAAAGACGTGTTAGTTTTGGCCACAAGAGGAACACAAATCCATACAAAGCAATCAACTGTCAAGCATCCACCACTTCATAGACTAGGATCAGCTGCCATGCCTTAAATTTTGGAAGTGCTCTACACTTCAACTCAGTTTGGTTTGACCTCTTTTATATATTGCTGAAGTCCATGTATTTCTTACAATATTTGCCTAAGATGCCAAGCCTGGAATCATATCTCATCCTGTTTCATATCAGAAAGAAAGAATCAATCTGCATTAGTAAGTGTACATACATAGCGTATACTAAAAAACACATCCATTTTCTGTATACTTCTCAATTCTACGAAAAATATACGTTTTCAATCGTATACATATTATTTGTGTATTATACAAGTATTATATATTTCATTTATGTATTTCATATACGTACTTTGTCCATTCTGTGCACTAACTATGATTTGCAAAACTAAAGAAGAAGAAACAAATTGAAAAGAATAAGAGAGAGAGAGAGAGAGAGAGAGAGAGAGAGAGAGAGACCTCTTAGAGGATACTTGAATGGTGTTGCTGCTGCCTATTGAACTGGATTCATTTGGAAGTTTGAAGGCAAAGCATCCTTCTCTGTTCTCCTCATCCTTGCCAATGCTTCTAAAACAATGACTGAGAGCAGAATCACACCGAGAAGAAACCCGTAGCCTATCTTCCAATCATTTCCTGCAGCTCCAATTTTGATCCCCAGAAGTATGTTCACAGTTGCAAAGAAGACTGCAAACCTTCCAAGCCAGTGGTGGTACCAATTCCAGTACTTTCTAATCTTGGCATCCTTGTTGGGTCTTAGAAAAAATGCCAGTATCTAAAACCCTCAAAGTCAAAAACTCAAAAATATCAAATCGCAGTTCCTTCTATATAGATATGTACTAATCAAAACTATTTTTATAAATTTTTGTATAATAAATTTAATTGAGAGGGACAAACCTGAAGGATACTAAGCACAAGAACAAAGATCCCTATGGCTCTATGTGTTGGGAAGTTGGCTCCTATTTTGGTGTAGAGTTGTTGCCCTAGTACCACAGCTGCCAGCCCAATGACAAACCCAACAAATTGAATAAGTGCATGGAGATAGTACCACAAAGGGTCCTTGTGCTTGAAGTATCTTGGGACAATTGCCCCAACAGGAATTATTAGACCCCATCCAAATATAGCCAATATTCCATGGTTCTTCTTCATCTGCCCAAAGTTTGTAGGTGCCTCAGATGCAGAACCTGCAGAGAAATCGAACAGGATGGTTGTTTTATCGTTGTGCTTGGTTAGGTGGTGGTGCTTAGGGTAACCGCTTCCGATAGCCAAGATAATTGGCTGCCGGGCGAGATGAGTCGGGAATTTCAACTGAAATGCCAGGTAAATTCTGGGGCCATGAAGCACAAGGGAAGCAGGGATGCCGGTGAGTGGCAATTCACCTTTGTCTGGTATGACTTGTGACACCTTTGAACCCTGCAAAAAGTATTGCTTAATTCTTGCTTGACCTTTTCTGTTAACCCATCCCACCATGGCACTTGAACCAACCATCATGCCATCTTTGGAAAATCCCAATCCTACCCATCCAGTGGTGTATACAGCAGACAATATAATGTTCATGACATGATCTTCAGTCTGAGAGTACTGCAACAAAGCAAAAAAAAAAACATTTTAAATTTTGATGTTATATAATTAAGGATGTCTTAAACAACATTGCAAGTTGCAACTACAAGTTCAGAACCAACTAAACACTGAAGTATAAATTGAGAACAGAGACTTACCCTCAAAACAAAAGTGTTCCAAACAGGCCTACAGACTATTTCTGATAAATTACCATATGGTGGTGGCATAAAACTACCCAGCTCATTATCACAAAGCTCTGATGCTCCGCCACCCACACCGGCACTATTGACTCCCGGAACATTACTGTCATCATCAGCCACAACCGAAATCTTGCTATCCAAGACAAGGGCCAGAATAACATATAACCTGCAAGCAAACCTCAAAGCCAAAGACCAAGACCCCGAACTCGCCATTCGAAAGACCAAGAACTTTGAATTGAGATCTAAGGCTCAGAACAAGCAGTGACAAAGACCAGGAACAATGTGGGTTGGGAAAGAGAAGCATATTCAGGTCAGGAGGTTGGGAGGTTTTAGTCTCTTGGGTTTGAAGTAAAATGGAATGTGGTTGGTGTTGGTGGGGGCTGGTGGTTGGTGGTTGGTGTTGGCGGGTGTTTAAGTTTTAACACCAAAAAAAACCAAATCAAAGATTTACAACATGCCATCCTACAGCGGTTTGCCATCATTCCCGCTATTTCTTGCAAGTTAACCCCCCAACAATGTGTCTCTTTCAACTGTTTATTTATTAAATCCTTTTATTTATTGGGAGATACATCATTAAATTGCAAAAATAGTGCAATTTTATTATTTGGAAATTCAACAATAACAACAACAACAAAAAATGATAATTTGTGGGTCATATAAGATGATGGATGGATGGATGGATGGATATGATGAATGATCAAACTTTGAAGTTGACTTGTTGTGTATTACAAGATACCATGATGAAGGGCTTATAATTTGTTTATTGCTTTCAAAAGCATCTTAGCCATTAACCAAATCTAACAGACAGAAACCTCACCACAGGGGAAATTTTGAAAAAAAACCACTTGACATACAATAGTGACCATTGATGACTTTTTAAGCAATACATAGAACTAGAGACTACAAAAAATAGTACAGTCAGTCAGGGTTGAAGTTCAGGCCACATTTTGGATGCAACCCCATTATTGCTTGCTAGAACCTGAAGTGCAGATTGAGGCAACAAATCTTTGAGGGGTGCAAATTCCCCAACCTGCCCTTTATTCATGATGGTGTGCAATGACATTTTTAACCTTGAGACCATTGATCTGATCACTGCACAGACTTGTTTGGAGAGTTCAAAGATAGAAGAGATCCTGATCATCTTTTTCCCCTTTACATGTTGACACCAAAAGAGGGACATGAAAAGTGATTTAGCCAGGCACCCTAAAGATATGCTCCTCACCACTCTTCTCATCAACCTTGACAACCCATTTGCTCTTAGCACTTCTCTTCTTCCTTCCTCCACCCCAATCTCCCTTTCCAATCTCTCGGTTCTTCCCAATCATGGTGACCTCCATCCCTTTCCCTATCGGATGCTTCGTGGACCTTACCACAACCCTCTCCTCCTTCACTTCCATATGTCCTCCCAGCCCTTTTCTTTCACCAACCAAGTTGTTAGCCACAACCACTGATTTTCTAGGATTCACATCAAGCAACTGCAGCAGCCTTGTGTACTCATCGTTCTTGCAATCAACCATAGAGAAATCAATGTTCTCATAATTTGACAATAGCTCAGAGGGGTCTCCGGTCCTGAACTCAACCAAGTCTTTAAGGCCTGAGTCTTTGATTACTTTCTTCGATTCGTCGAGAACTGGCTCTGGGACAATGCAGACCAATCTGCCCCCTGTGTGTTTTGCAGCAGCTGCTAAGGCTATTGTTGATGGGGAAACACTTGAGGCCACCTCCACTATGAGCTTGGCTTTCTTGCCGGCTGCCAAGGCCGATACAAACTCATTGCTCCCTGGCTCTTGTGTTTTCCATGAGTCACTTTGTCTCCTTCGGTCATTACACTGCAGAAATACATGAATTTGGAGTTAGCAAACATGAAAGTTTTTCTCACGTTCTTCATTAAGCTTCAAACCATGAAGGGAAAAAAGATTCAAAATTGGAAAACTATAGTCCTTAATGCAATCTTATTTGACTTCTCGACATGTTGTCAAACTGTCAATGTGGGAAATTGATCGAGTAAATTTTCTTAGAATGTGCATTTGATTAACAGTTCAGCTATGTAACATGTCAAATTTTTGTCACGAGAAAACATTATCACCACTAAATTATGTGACAAAGCTTCCATGGTATCATTTCTGTAATGATCTCAAAAGGCAACAAAACCCTAAGAAATACCAAAAATCATGAAGATGAAACAAACCCAAATGACCAATTGAACCAATCATGGTTTCCAATACTCTAAAACAAAACTGAAGAAAACACAAAACAGAGAAATGTACCAGTTTGAGGGTATCAAAATAAGCATTTGAAGCAGAAGCTGCAGACCAATCCATCATCCCCATAGCCCCCATGAGATTAATATCACTTGTTCCAATTCCAACCAAAAACAGAAGATGCGAAAAAACTTGGGCGCAAACAATCAAGAGCAGGGAATCAGAACGTGTTTTTTGCTCTGAAACAGGACAAAAATTACAACGTTTACTGCAGCCCTGGTTTATTGTTTGTGCTCTACTGTTCATATATGTCTTCTGTTTTGTTTTTTGGTTTGGTTTGATTGGTTTGGTTTTTGGTTTGTTTGTTTTGAACAAATATATAAGAGAAGGTGCTTCAGAAGCGTACGATTGGATTTGGAACAGAGGAAGGACGCGGAAACATACGCAGTCAAAGCGTGTTAATTAGTCGAAAACCGTAGAGCAAAATGTGCGGGAAAATTAGCTATTACTATTGCTCATTTGTCTAAAAATGGCTAACTCATAGTTTGACTAGAAGCTTCTTTAGCTCTTCTCTTGAACTGGTTTGTTTGATCATATTTTTGTATTTTTCTCTTTTATTATGCTTTTTCTTTCTTTTATATATTATAACAAGTTTGAAAGAAAACAGGAGCCTCATCACATAGCCAAGGGTGGAACCAAGAATTTTTCAATGGGTGGGCTAGCTAAGTTATTAGCTTAAAATCAAATGATAATTTTTTTTTTGGCACTAACAGTTTCTATAGTTTTTCTAGAAATAAAAATATACATTAAATCATATAAATCATGCTAGTTGTAAACACAAGAAAAAAAATGGAATTAGAGCCATATTATTCACGAAAGGGTGAATTTTATTTAGAAAAATGCTTCTCTTTTGGAGATACATTAATGGAAAAGGATTAAAATTGATGTTTGGGGACAAACTTTAACACCAAATACAAATGTGGAAGACCTTTGACTATGACTATTGGTGTGGTAGCACTGGTGGACCCAAGAATTTTTTAGCGAATGTGAAATTTTGAAATGCTAAAAACTCTTTGTGGATTGAACATCTAAGGCTTTTTACCTAGATTGACCTTAGGTCCCTTCATGCATTCATATCATACATGCAAAATTGTTTTATGTAAAAATATTGACTAAGTATGAAAAATGGTTTCTCGGAATAATCATTTTCTCAAGATAATTTTTGTCGGCTTTTATTCCTTACACATCAAATAAGAAAACTTGACTTTATGGGATTTTAGTATGAAGTATATATTGACTTAATGAGCCATCATTTTTAGCCTAAATCGTATTTTGCACTCAAATTGATTTTTCATATTTTGATTTGGTGGAAATTTGATTTTCTAGTATTTTTATTTGAATCCAAATGGAGGGTACTTCCTTATTTACATTGTAAACTTAAGTAAATAGAGTAATATAAAAATAAATGAAAGTAAAAGGACAAAGACAATTACTTAAATGCTGAAAATGGAAATAAAGTCATCTGTACACTTGAAGTGCACCACCACCAGCTGAGAAAAAGGGCAGTTTGAAGAACCTACAATGATTTTTCCGATAAAGGGAGGAGCTTAATAGGTCCGCCACTGTGTGGTAGGATATGCAATTGTATATTATTTATTTATTTTTAGTTTAAAATATTAGGCTATATATGTCTAATTATTTTTTTTCCCCAAAACCTTCCCTAGGCTACAACCCAGGGTAGCCCTTGGGCTAGTTCCGATAGTGGATAAAAGATAAGTCAGGGCTCGTTTGGGAATGCTTTTGGAGCAGCGAAAAGCGCTTCTAAATCGGTGAAAGCGCTTCTATCTTTTAAAAATGGTGTTTGGCAAAAATTGCAAAAGCGCTTTGGGTGAGATCCAAAAGCACTTGGAGTGGTTTTGGAAGAAGCACTTGAGAGGTGCTTATTGTTAAAAGCGCTGCAGGACAAAAACAAGGGAAGCACTTGGCTCCCTTTAATGAAACTTTTAAAATGCCAAAAATACCCATATTTAATTTTTTAAAATGCCAAAATACCCTTTCTTTATTTTTTTTTCTATCTCTTTTTCTTTCCTATTAAAACCAAAACACTACCCTTTAATCTTCCCGTAGTTGTTTCTCTATCACATTAGCAAGTCTCCTCTAAATTTGCTTTCTCCTTTTTCTACACCATTTTCCTTGTAAAAATTCTTCATATCCCTACTGTTATTTTGTAAAGATGGATATTGAAGTAACAACCCCAAATTAACCACATCGTCACCAAAATGGAGACTTTTCAAACGCAATGAAATGCAACTCATCACCATCATCTTCTATAATCTTTTCACCTAGCTTTTTCTGGAACACGATTTCCCTTATGCTATCTTCCTACGATTCTTTAAATTTTTTTAAAGTACTTTTAAAAGCGCTTTTACTGTGTCAGCCAAACACTCAACAAAATATCAAAAGCGCTTTTATGTAGTGTAAAAGCACTTTTAAATGCGACATCCAAACGACAAACTGCTTCTTTGTAGAAGCGCTTATGTCGTAAGCGCTACTGGTATAAGCGCTATTGGCATAAGCTACTGCTTCATTAAGATTTGACAATTCCATCGTAGTATGTAGTATTTTTCTGCAACCAAGTTGAAGACTTGAAATTAAATTGTTCCCTTTTCTTGTTCAAGAAAAATAAAAAATAAAAAATAATTTACGAGTGTAATTCAATACATGTTGTAATTTTTAGTTCACTTTTTCAAGCTAAATAATAGATGGAATTAGTTTAAAAAGCTTAAGCTTCAACTTAGTGATACTTTGACATTTAGGTTGAATATGTTTGGAAGTGCTTTTGGAAGGACTACTAAAAACGCTTTCTGATAACTAAAATTGCTTCTAATAGCGTTTGGCTAAAAATTTTAGAAGTACTTCTAGGTCATAGAAGCGGTAACATGTGCTTCACTCTCAAGTGCTTTTCTTATTAGCACTTGGATTTCTTATGAAAATTTCAACATCTTTATAATAAACACACATTTTCTAGAAGCGCTTATAAGCATAAGTGATTCTTAAAGAAGCAGCCAAACGTCAGTTTCTTGGTACATAAAAGATA